ATTTTTATGTAAATTCTTCAAAAATATCTTGTAGATGATTGTTAATTAGAAGTAATTGTCATTTTAGAAGATGTTTTCAATGAGTTCACCAAAATCAAAGAAATTAACGTTTTGCACAATCTTTTTAATGCATTCATACGAATCGAATTAACTCTCGTCTACAAGATGTTTTTTTTTTTTTTTGGCAAATTTGCATAAAAATTGCAAATTTATTGCACGAGTGTTCCCTCTTTTTTTTTCTCATGTTATTATTTCATTTACGAATATGTGATGCATATAAATATCATACACTGTTTGAAAGAGAAGGAAGCTTCCTACTTCAAAATGTGTTTATCGAAAAGATATAGAAATCAGCATTTTGCATAGTCTTTCTAAATCTTACGAAAAATGTGGATTTTGTTTTTTGTAAATAGAGTGCTTCTTTTTTCTATTGCATCATTTTATTTATATAAGCTAGTTAAAAAGAAAACAAGTTAAATATGATTCGAAAAAAAAGAAGAAAAAGTTCTATGTTTTCGTAAGAAAAATTCTCTATCAGCGTCTTTCTATTGAAAAGAAATAGAGATAGACTTTTTTGTGTACTATTACTTATGCATCGTATGTTACTTATTGACATTACAATTGAATTTATTTCTATTCTTTGTATTTCATTTGTATGTTTTAATGAATTTGATGGTTTCGAAGTGTAAACAATTTTATTACGAACAAAAGTTTCTTTTGTATTTATTATGGTTGAACACAATAAAAAAAGAGAGAAAAGAAAAATTGAATTTAATCAATACAATACAAAATAAATTATTCATGATCAATTGATTGAATTTTTTAAAAAGATCTGTTTATATATATAAGAATTTATATTTTATTTTTCAAATTATTAGATCAATAAGTGATATGTTGTTGTTGTTTCGATGTGAAAGAAAAAATCAAATTCAAACTCATATAATTTATTGACTATTAATTCGTATAAGGTATTGTTTATAACCAGATTGAAATTCCGATTCAATGTGAAGTTAACTCTTTTACTCTTCATAGTGATTTCAGACCAGTCACTGATGAAACAATCATTGGAGAGAGAACAACTTGACAAAATTTCTATCTGAAGCCGTCTGTAAATGTGATGTAGTTCTACCAAAAAAACAATGTCGTACAGAGCTCAGGAACGTCTCATTTTGTAAAGAAGGATTTGTTATGATGTGAACAAATTTTATGTCCGAGTTGTAGGTGCTGAAAAAATTAAAAATTTGTTTTTTCTGGAAAATTTGTAGTGATTTCGAATGGTATTGGTATTAGTTGTAGACATTGTCGTCGTTAGTATATATCACATAATACATTTCCATCATATATATATATATTGCTTTTTTATCGTTGGAAAAACATTGTATATGAAAACATCGAAGTTTTACGGTTTTCTTTTTTGAGTAACTTGCCTTTTTCGAAGACGAAACAACACAAGACAGAATACTTTATTATCAATTGATGGTTTATGAAGTTCACTACAAGATATATTTTCTTTATTTTCTGCAAATGGTCATTCTAATAAGCAAGAAGAAAAGGTTAAAGAATTAAATAATCAATAATAAATTTAATTTTTATTATATTTTCTATCATTATTTTTTTTCTAATCTATCAAGTATTAATCATTGAGACAACAGATCAGAGGCTTTTATTATTATTATCACGATTCAAGCGAAATGATTTATGACAATTTTGATGGCCAATCGTTTAATTCTGAGAAAAATGATATATGTCGTATAATTTATTTATATCACAAAGACTCATAACAGTACGAGTACTTTCGAGCAATAAAACGTAATTTGATATTACATAGTAATAATCCAATTTATTACTAACAACGAAAGTTTTTCGATTGATAAAGTAGACTTTGAATAACAATGTTTTATTTTTATTTTTTGAAATCTTCAATTATTGTTAATACTTCGTAATTTATTCTTCATTAAAGTCATTTATAAATAGTCTTATCAAAAGGAGAGTACTTCACGGTACCCTATCTTTAAGATCACTTCTGATTCTCTACAAGTATACAATCGATCGTGCTCAAATTTTTACAATAGCTAAATTACCGAAAATGACGAAACCAATGTTCAATAAAAAAAACTTTAAAAGTAGATCTTCGAGAGTTTACGAAGGGATCTTCAAAAACATCTTAAGATCTGCTTTTAAATATTTTTCCACGAACGTATGTCTCATTATTTGTGATAATCTAACTACAATAAAAATTTGAGCCCAACCAGTTGTACTTTCGCGAAAAACCAGAAGTGATTCAAACAAGATGTATCTTTATAACATTATTAAATTTTCATTCCTCAATCTATCTCAATAATAAATAGAGGATCATACAAACGAAAAAAAATATCTTTTTAACATATCCAAATGAATTGCTAAAATAACTTTTTAATATTTGAATAAAATCATCAATAGTAATTACCAATAAATAAAAATCTTCTTTACTTTTTTAAATATTTATCTCAAACAAATATTTCATAAAAATAGTTTATCTCAATGAGATCTATTTAAAAATTTCTAATAATAAGTATTTTTATTTTGTTTGTTTATTTTAAATCTCAAGAAAAATTTCACATGGGATAATCACTATCCATTTCATCCGACTCATTTATTAATCTAAATCTTAAGCAAAAGATAAAATATCTTTTACTTTTAACATACAAAAATAACACAAAAAAAAAAAAACGAACATAAGAAGAAAAAAAAGAAACTGATCATCAAATAGAAAGAAAAATTAGATTAAAAAGGATAAATAAACATAAGACAAAAATTTGTCAATGAAAAAAACAAATAAACTACAAGAAAAAAACAAAAAACCTTCTCCTTTCAATGATCTTTTCTATGAAGTAAATTATTATACAACCGGTAGAATAATTTTCATGCGCATATTCGAAAATTATCAGTCATTCTCACGGACAGACATCCTAATGCGCAGATAGATTTTGTTTTTCTTTCTAATGAAAGGAGAATGAATAGTAATAATAATAATTATATATATATATATATATATGTATATTCTATTTTCTTTGTTATCTACACTAAAATTAAACTTTCTTTTTATGACCACGAAAAAGTCGTTCGAAAACGTTCATTTTCTTAGTATTATCATGTTTATCATTTGTCAATGAAAGTTCATCTAAAATATTTCCTGTTGATGTTTTAAGTGATGAATTTGTTGTTGAAAGTTTATTATGCATTTCATTTGTATTATTTATAATAGTATAACAACCATCACCTGTTGATGAACGAGATGAAGATGAAATTTGTTGTTCTTGTTCTTGTTCTTGTTCTTGTTGTTCATGTTGAGATTCACAATTATTTATTGAATTAGAATCATTTGTTGGACTAGTAGATGATGATGGAACAGTAGTTGAACGTTTATTATCATGTTTAGCTGGTGAAAAAACTGATACAGGAATGTTTCGTCGTTGACCCGTAGGAGAAACAAGACGATTATCATCTGAACGTTTCGACGATCTAAAATTTAATAAATGAAAAAATATTCGAAAATAAAATAACGTGAAATCAATAAATAGATTTCAAATTATTTTACACACACATATTTGTTCGGTCTACAATTCGGTATAGCGCGTATTATACCGAACGATCTACTGATAATTTACCAATAATTCTTGTTTGGTTTGAATTATATGGGTATATGATACTAACGGATGGTACATAATAAATGAGTAAAAATATTTTCCTCTTTTGATGGCAGTACTTTCAAAAACATTGAAGAATGTTTTGCTCTAGAAAACTGCTGACTTCGTTTTTCATGAAAGATTTTTTTTTTTTTCTGGACGAAAAATTGATAAAACTGGCAGGTACTTAACTACGATCTCCTAATAATTTAGCATCAATAGATATAGGATTTTTTTGCCTCCTGAACAAAATGGAGTAACATGTAAATTGAACAAAGAAAATCTTTAGATTGTCCT